AATTGCTTCCATTCTAAAATCCCTCGCTTCTTTGATGCAAAATAGTGTTCAGTACAATTGGGTCTAGACGGGGTAACAAAAGAAAAATAACGCCCCACACGTGTGAAACGAATTTTAATGAAAGCAGTTCCTGATTTGAAAGGAACGTGTCTATGCAATGATAAAGCAAGCCATCTTTGAAATGCATTGGACATTTCTGATGATAGGATAGAAAACATGAATTCAGCATCTCACTGGAATATAGAAATGAAAATACGCCATCATTCAGCTACAGTTGAGGTAGTTGAACTCTTCAGTCTTTAAACTTTCAAGTGCATATAGGTCATCGCTTCACATGTTAATGTGCATGCATCTGGGTAGCAACAGGAAACCTAAAGAGTAAAGAACAAACTGATATTTTAAAGAATCAAAATAGTTCTAGTTTCTTAATGAAAGTGTAGGAATGAGGTTAAGGAAGATAGAGAACATTCTAGAAATTCTTACCACGTAATTGAGAACATCCTGCAGCTTGCCCAGGCTTGTCTTTTTCGAAGTGTGTTTGATCTCGCTCTTAGCCAATTTTAGTTTGACTTTATTCTTAGCAGATTCAACATTGTACATTTTTCTCTTCCCGTTTGCTCTTTAATAATAATGTCTTCATATTGTGAAGGCCTCTATAATTCACAAAGTGCACTACCATACTTAATTGCCTCTAGCTCAAACACCCTTGGAGATGAGAGGAAAGAAATTATCATCTTCATTTTGAAGGTAGAGTAACTGAGACCCAGAGAGATTAACTGAAATGCCCAGTCATACCTAGTAAGCAGCATGGCTGGATTTTCCTCCCTCCATCCCTCCCTCCGTTTCTCTCTTCCTCCTTTCTTCCCTCCTTGTTTCTCTTTCTGTCACATACCAGCTTTTGCTTATGCTTTCTTTTATTCATTCAGTTGAATGATAGATATTATGTTCCAGGCACTGTTTCTGTGCTAGAAAATGCAAAACGGAACAAAACAGATATAGTCTTCCCCTCATGGAGATTACTGGGGAGTTGGCGAGACAAATAGTAAACCAGTAAAAACAGCCAAATAAATGGACAATTGAAGATTATGGGAAGTGCCGCGAAGAAAAAAGAACCCATTTCTATGAGTGAGAATAAGATAGGAATCGGCTGTCGATTTGGTCGTCAGAGAAAGCCTCTCTTGGGGAGTGACAGGAAAGCAGAAATAAAAAGTATAGATGGAAATCAGACAGATGAAGAACCAGGCTGTATGTTTGTCAGGATAGGCTAAGTGATGCTGTAATAATAGCCCTAAATTTTTAGTGACTTAAAACAGTGAAAGTTTATTTCTGTCTCATGCTGCATGTTCATAGCAGGATGGCTAGCTCTAGGGACTCTGTTTCATGACAGCCTCACACCAGGACCTGAACTTCCAGGGCAGTTGCTATTTGGGACATTCATATCCTCCATGTAAAGAAGAGGACGTGTGGTCAACGATGCACTTGCTCTTGAAGCTTTTACCTGGAATCCCATACCACATTTCATGGACCAGTGTGAGTCACGTGACCACATCTAATGTCAAGAGGGCAGGGATATGCAGACCCAGCTTCTTCCACTTTCCCAGCCTCCCTTGCAGGTAGTGGTGGTGATGTGTCCTGCTCAAGGGAGCCTATGGAGGACTTTGGAATCCATTTTTGCTCTTCTGTTAAGAGACAGGTGCAGGCGACACCCACTCCCTATTCTTCCTGGCTTAAACGTGGATGCTATGCTGAAGCTGTCTGGCCATTTTGCATAAGAAAAGTAAGCCATACCTTGAGGATAGGGGACCATAAGGATGAAGTGAATCCTTCATGACCTGATTTTGCAACTGAACTAATACAAGCAACTGCCTGATTCTGGATTTCTTGGAGGTAGGAGAAAAATGAAACCAATTTTTTAAGCCTGTTGCTTGGAACCAGAAGCATTTCTAGCTTATGGGGTTGAGAGAGATGAACAGATACTGTGCTTACAGTCCAGAAACTCGCCTTCCTCAGATACCTCCCTGTGACTGGGCGGGCAACGCCGGAGCCAAAGGAGGTGCACTTCGCTTTATGAGTGCTGGCTAGTAAAGCACAGGGAAGAGACATCTTCCATCCTCTTCCTCTTCTAGCTTCCTGTACTTCCCTTTCTCCTTGGTACTAATTCTCCAATTGCACGCTTTCTTTTCCTGGTTGCAGTTACCCTCCCATTACCCTTTCTCTTCTTCTTGAGTGTCTGAAACTGGTCGTGTCCACTTAATGTGACATTAACCTCGATATGATTGAATTAGGTCAATTTCTCAGAGATTTGAAAAAGCTGCTTAATATTTGGTGGAATCCTTCCCAGCTCTTCCCACATCTCAGAGATAGATCTCAGAATACGTGGGACAATTAGCACCAATTGCTTTAGGAATTCCCCAGTTGGTGTGTTTAAACCTTTAAATTCTTGCTTCCTCTGTGGCCTGACTTATATGGAGCCCCAAGTCTTTTCAGACTCTAGAACTGTGAATTAAGTGAAACTTGATTGCTAAATTAAGTCCTGTGAATAGAGTACAAAGAAAGATGCAATATAAATGTTTGACTTTCTGGCCATAATTTCTCCAAGTGGTCTCACCCACTCTAGTTTAAGGAGCTGCTAAACTTTAGGCACCTAATCATAGAATTTATTTCCAGAAAAGAATTTGCCTCTAGAATATCCTGGAATACCCCATTTTCCCAGTTCATTATTCTTTGGCCCACTAGCCTACTGGGATAGGACTGCGGTCAAGGATTGCTCTTTGTTCTTCTCATTTTGAGCCCTTTGTTTCTTTATCACTGTTGCACGAATTGTTACAGGTTTTGTCTGGGCCAATGTTTTATTTCTCTTCCCTGAGGTGTTTAAAGGTCTGTTATGAGTCTCCAAATAATACAATTGCAGTCTTCGAATGAGAACTCATCCTGGTGTTTTATAACTTGGAACTGGTACACGTTTTCAAAAGTAAATTGTGTGGAGCTTTTCTGACACTCAATTTCATGAGCCAGTTGCTGATGAAAAGAAAGGGCATAAGGATGCTTTGTAAACTCTAAATCAGGGATTAGAAAAACATATGTTGTGGCTTCTTGTCATTTGTGTTTAGATGGAGAAGAGAGGACTGAAGAGCGCTCTGTATGGCTTCCTGTTGCCCTGGATGAATCATCTTGCATCATTTGTCCTCTTCTTAACTGACATCAAGGATAATGAGAGTCCTTAGTAGGTGTCCTGTTTTGACTCATTTTTGTATCTGAATACCAGAAAGCCTAGCACACAATAGGCATCAGTAAATGTTCACTGGATGAATGGATGAGGCAGTGAATCATAGGTTTTGGAAACCTTACTCTTCACTTTTTAAATTCCCCATTTATGAACCTCTCATTAGGCTAGGAATTAAAAGACCTGGTTTCTGGTTTTATGTAAACTGCTTACTGTCTTTAACATGAGACCCATAATACCTCACAAATTACTTTGAAGGCCCCAAAGAGTTCATAAATAATTTTAAATGTTTAAGTATCATATAATATAGCACAGAATTAAGTCCTGAGCAGTACACATAAGAAACTAAAGTCATCATTCCTGCCTTTTGACAGATGCTAGTCGAGTTGGGTATAGCAAAGCACATCACAAATGTATAGGGAGGTGGGATGAGATGTGTGGGATGATTCTGGGATGTTTGTTTTTTTCTGGAACATAGAAATGTATTAAAGAAGGGATTAGAGCCGGGTAACATCAAGGAATGGCATGTCTGTGAAGCATTTAAGTGGGAACGAACCTGTCTCCTGGAGCAGTGTTTTCCAAATTTGGCAATATATTAGAGGAAATGGGGAATCTTCTAAAAATATCATTGCATAGGCCACATCTCAAACCAATTATGTCAGAATCTGTGAGGATGAGCCTTGGGAATCAGTATTAAAAAAAAAATCTTCCCAGGTGATTCCAGTGTTCAGTCAGATTTGAGGATAAATGTTACAAAGCTGTGCTTCTCAAACTCTGATCACCCGGAGACTTTGTGAACATGCAGGATGTGATCCAGCAGGTGTGAGTTGGGACCTGGGATTCTGCATTCCTCCACCTCCCAGCTGATGCTTATGCTCCTAGAACAAGGACCACACTTTGAAGAGCTAGTTTCTAAAGTGTTTACAAATACATCACATGTCAGGTAGGAAAAGAAGGGACATGGAAACAGCATTTATTTAGTACCTGTGTGCCAGGAATCATGCTAGTATCTTTACATATATTATCTCATTTCATCTCAAAAACAGTCATGTTAGAATTTTATTACTCCCGTTTTCAAAATGAAGAGACTGAAGTTGAGTGGGTAAAACATTGTTTAAGGCTGGACAGCTAATTCATGCTGGAATCTCTATTCAAACAAAGGCGTATCTGACAGCAGCATGACCTCTGACCTTTCCAGAGGTCAATGGAAATTGTTGGAAACGTTTAAATGGTAAGCAGAAGCGTTGAGATCTGAAATGGTGGGCAGTGTCTTGTAGCAAACTCTTCTTTGGATGACTTAGGGAAAGTACCCAGGTTGCCAAGTTTGATTTCACACTCTTGCCTCATGTAATATATCTAAGCAAGTCAGGAACATGGCATTGCGCATGCCTGTAGACTGGAGTTGTGCTCCAATTTTATGGTATCAAAGATACCCTGGAGAAGCTGGGATAGAATGTAAAGAAATACTAACAGCAAAATAGTAGTGCTAGTGGAAGATGTCAAAACTCAAAAGTAAAACAGAAACATTAGGTTTTTCAATGACTGATATCAAAGGATTGTTGGTTCTGGAGGGAGAAAGTGTGTTTTTTGAAAGTATGTGACTCTTAACTCCTTGATTCCTTCAAATATTCTTCCAAATGAAAACATCCCTTAAAGAAAGAAAGCTCTATTTGTCTGGGTTTTTTTCCCCCCCAGTTTTTACAATCGCTTTATCGGTTGGTTGATTGATAGATTGAAGTATAGTCAGGAAAAGTGATTTTTTTCCCTCTCCTTTCAGGAAGCTGAAGAATGAACTCTTAGAAGCAAAACGTAGAAGTGGGAAGACTCAACAAGAGACCAGCAGAGTCTGTGCTCACTGTCAGAGAAACCTGGGCTTAATATTCGACCGGGGAGACCCGTGTCAGGCCTGCTCTCTGAGGGTGTGCAGCCAGTGTCGGGTCTCAGGCCTGGACGGCAGCTGGAGGTGCACCATCTGTGCCAAAGTCGCGTGAGTTTCTTGCCTTTGCGTGGAAAGTCGGCTTTGATGACTGAGGGTTTGGAGTAGGGGAAAGCAAGACAGAAGAGTATTTAAACTATAGGGCTAGAGAGTAGAATTAAAAATATGGCCCAACCACAGGCTCAGCAATGCCTTGGCATGCCTCTGGGGTGTGTGTGTGTGTGTGTGTGTGTGTGTGAGAGAGAGAGAGAGACAGAGACAGAACCGTGTTTTTTATTTTAAAACACTATAAATACAATAAAATTGGAAGCCTCACAGAACGAGGCCTCTTTCTGCATTTGAAAACCACCCACAAGCTTTCTTAGAGCCCCACTTGGCTCCACGTGGCTTCTCAGAAGGCACAGACAATTGCCCTGTGACATTCTTAGACACTGGGGTGACTGGAAAGATGAGTATGAAATAGCTCCGCATGTCACCTGAGGGACAAAGCTAGAGTAGTTCCTGAATTTCCTCTAAACCTAGTCCTTGAGAAAAGGTGAAAAGAGAGCCTTCTCATTCTCCTCCATGTTCAGCCTGTCTTGGCCATGGGTTTCATCCTGCCCTCTAGGGTGCAAATCAAGAATCATTGTTTTCTAAGTTCAGTTAAACTAGAGTCCGAACATAATATGGTCCCTACTACTCCTGGGGCCTACCAAACTCCATCCTTTAGAGAAATCTCCCCCTGGACCAACTGGTATGTTTTCTCCCTCCCAAGATCATTCATCTCTTGTACTCTGGGAGGTACCTAATAATCTCACCTCAAGGCAACTCCATCCTCATCTCTTTCCTGTGGTTGAGGTGGGGGATGTTGGCATCATATCAGGTTTGCTTGGTTTGGTTTGGTTTATCTTTTCTCCTCACTAACTCATCTTCTTACATAGGAGCTAAGAGGCTATCTTTGGAGGAAAAGTGAATAATTTAGTAGTAAGAGTGAGTGATCTTCCATCTCTGACTTCTCTGAATGAGGACGACTGTGTTCTATTGAGGACTCCTATATTCAGTGATTGCATTATTTAACCAATGTTATTTTTCCTGTACTTTCTCATAAAATTGATCCTAAATCGAGCAGTTCATACTATGTTTCCACACTCGATTGAGATAAGCAGATCTAAAGAAATGAATTATTTAAGTTATTTTATTACCTTCTCTGGATACATTACTTTGATTTAATTAAG